TTAAATCCTTAGCTAGATTTCACTACGAATAACATGAAGTTCTGTACTATCCAATTCACTAATATTACTACAAGGATGACTTTATTTAGCTAAATAATTAAACTAATTAATGCACTAGTATTATCATAAATTAATTAAAAATATATGCATATTACAAGAATTCAGTTGTACAACATCGCTGTCATTTCACATTTAAGAAAGTTTAAAAAAAAAAAAAAAAAAAAAACAACAATAATAATAATAATAATAAAATAACAAAATTAAATAAAATTCATGCCATTAGCTTCAGAAAACTTGGAATACAGCATACAAACTGCATCACAAGTTACAGCATACAGTATTAGAATACTAGTATTTTTTTATGTTTTACACAGAAAAAGATAACATGCAGGTTTGTAACACCACAAGGATGAGTAAATAATGGAAAATCTATTCCTTTAATAATGCAGGCCAGTAATTTGGTTCATGCACAGCACTGTGCACCCACAAGAACAGAAACAGATTTTTTTTTTTCTGTAATAACTGTCTGTGACATAAATTATGTAAAAATGAATAACCCAACTTAGGAGACAACTGACATTAAGGCTGGTCTAATTTAAAGATTTTGACAAAGCCTCCACAGCTGCCATTCAAAGCCCACTCACTGTGTTTTTAAATAGTCAGTGTGCCAGGTTAGTTTTCTGCACATAAATCAATACGCTAGCTATCAGGTGACAGTGTGCCTACATATTTGGACTGTATAATGTTGAGATGACTGCTTGTATATGACTTCCAAGATGACTATAAATGTGAGTCCTCTCCCGTACTCTAAATTCAAAGAGGTATCAACTGGGATGGGCTGCTGTGTTTATTATGATTACATGGTGACAGTGATGTATCCACTATTGGGCATAAATCTTCTCCGTCACCACCACGAAGAGCCTAAGGGACTGAATGCAAATTGCTCCCGGCACAAGTGCTGACATCATCACTGAGGGTCCTCTCAATACAGAGACACAGCTGGAAATGACAACAAGAACGTCACTGTTCTATATCAAACTCTTACCTCACTGTGAAAGCCATTAGAAATGTACAAGAGTGGTTTGTGATGCAGCAGACCGACTATTTGTGTGTCTAATTTGGATGATAAGTAGAATGTTTTCCAATTCTCTTCAAGAGGGGCGTAGATCACGTGGGGGACGTGTCCCCCCCACTTTTAATATCACGTAAATTCGTCCCCCACACTTTTTCAGGCAAGTGTGTTTGCATAGAGGTTTTCAAGAGCCGGTGTGAATAAATATAGATTTAAATTCAAAGAGACAGGATAGCCTGTGCTGTGCATGACCTGATGTTTTATTTGGACCCAGAATAAGGCAAGACGAACATCACGGAGTGCAAAACACTCCATGCAGTGTATGTTTCATTCATACTCGAAGCCGGAGGGCGCTCTCGCGCAGAAAGTCGTACCAGGAAATCACTAATATGGACAAAAGCGTCTATCGCTGTATGAAAACAGTTGTTTACTTTTCACAGAAAACCAGAAACGTTTGGAAACATGAAGACATTAAACATATGATTTATTTGTGGTTAATAATATATGGTTATTGTAATATATATAATATATGGTTTATTTGTGTTTTTCAAGTCATCTCCAGGTAATAAATAAAGTATATGAACAATGCAGTGCTAACTGACATAGCATTCATTACAGTGAATACTTTCTATAGTATAGAAACTATTCTGCCTTATTGTGTGATAATAAAAAAAAAAATATGTGATAAGTGTTTGTAGTATATAAACAAATCATTATTATTGGTTATTGTCCAGCAGTGTATCTGAAAGCTAGAAATAGGAGAAAAATTTAAGTTGCCTATACACTACCAGTTAAAAGTTTTTTGAACAGTAAGATTTTTAATGTTTTTAAAGAAGTATCTTCTGTTCACCAATTTATCTGATCCAAAGTACAGCAAAACAGTAAACATTTGAAATATTTTTTTACTATTTAAAATAACTGTTTTCTATTTAAATATATTTTAAAAGTAATTTATAGTGATTTCAAAACTAAATTTCACACGATCCTTCAGAAATCATTCTGATATTCTGATTTGCTGCTCAAAAAAAACAGTTTTTGAACAGTAAGATTTTTTATGTTTTATAAAGAAGTCTCTTTTATTCGCCAAGCCTGCATTTATTTGATCCAAAGTATAGCAAAAATAGTAATGTTGTGAAATATTTTTACTATTTAAAATAACTGTTTTCTATTTGAATATATTTTAAAATGATTGCTGTGATCAAAGCTGAATTTTCAGCATCATTACTCCAGTCTTCAGTGTCACATGATCTTCAGAAATCATTCTAATATGCTGATTTGCTGCTCAAGAAACCTTTTTTAATTATTATTATTATTATTCATGTTTTTTGAGCAGCAAATCAGAATATCAGAAGGATTTCTAAAGGATCGTGTGACTGGAGTAACGATGCAAAAAAAAAATTAGCTTTAAAATCACTATAAATTACTATAAATCACTATAAATTAAAAATAGAAAAGTTATTTGAAAAAGTAAAAATATTTCAAAATGTTTCTGTTTTGCTGTACTTTGGATCAAATAAATGCAGGCTTGGTGAGCAGAAGAGACTTCTTTAAAAAACATTAAAAATCTTACTGTTCAAAAACTTTTGACTGGTAGTGTATAGGCAACTTTAATTTTTCTCTCATTTCTAGCTTTTAATTGGCTTAGAAATCAGATAACTGCTGGACAATAACCAATAATAATGATTTGTTTATATACTACAAACACTTTTTATCACATAGTAAGGCAGAATAGTTTCAATACTGTAATAAATGCTATGTCAGTTAGCACTGCATTGTTCATATTCTTTATTTATTACCTGGAGATGACTTGGCAAACACAAACAAACCATATTGTCGCAATCGTATGTTTAAAGTCTTCATGTTTCCAAACGTTTCTGTTTTTCTGGAAACAACTGTTTTCATACAGCGATAGCTGGAAGACTTCCTGCGCGTGAGCGCCCTCTGGCTTCGAGTATGAATGAAACACACACTGCACGGAGTGTTTAGCGCTCCGTGATGTTCATCTCGCCTTATTCTGGGTCCGAATAAAACATCAGATCATGCACGGACTATCCTGTCTCTTTGAATTTAAATCTATATTTATTCACACCGGCTCTTGAAAACCTCTATGCGAACACACTTGCCCGAAAAAGTGCGGGGGACGAATGTACGTGATATTAAAAGTGGGGGGGACACGTCCCCCGCGTAATCTACGCCCCTGAGATAGCGACTCGTTTGGTAACCAATAATTCCCAAATAGGGCAACCGGTACGCGTTTGTTGTAGCTCCGATCCGTATTATTTAACTTATTTTACACGTAATGTTATGCAAACATGCAAAAAGACATAAAACACGACGTATTAAAAGAGTACAATTAATTTAAGACACTACACCGAACCTTCACGAAGGTCGCCGTTAGGACGCACAAAATAAACCCCCGTGCAAATCGATGCATGTTTCACGCTAAATCAGACGAGTCAGAAGTTTACTTTCTGTATCTGACTAACATATTCGCTGTCTAATTTATAACCAAACCTTTAGTCAAATATAATATCCTTATTCAGTGGCCGGTAATGACTGAAGAGCTAGCGAATTTCCACATGCTTTCAGTCTAAAGCAGGGTTCCTCAAATCTTGCCCTGGAGGGCCAGTGCGCTGCAGAGTTTAGCTCCAACCCTGATCAAACTCACCTACCTGTGATTTTCTAATGATCCTGAAGACTTTGATTAGCATGCTCAGGTGTGCTTGATTAGGGTTAGAGCTAAACTCTGCAGGAAAGTGGATCTCGTGGGCCAGATTTGAGGATCCCTGGTCTAAAGGCTAGGTCGCATAGCATTCAGGCCTACAGTTTGCTTTTAATCACCTGTTGGGTCACTAAGAAGCGTTTAAAAGATTTCCACCCCAGATGGGACTCGAACCCACAATCCCTGGCTTAGGAGGCCAGTGCCTTATCCATTAGGCCACTGGGGCTCGTGTCGCATGAGCGACCAACTCGTGGATTAGAAAGAGGCAATACAAATAAATGTATGTTACATATTCAATTATTTTAAATATAAGTTATATAGCTGGTTTAATACATCCCATCTAAAAATTATCTGGTGTATATAATTGATAGATAATTATAACTTGCTATTCAGATTTACGTATTAACTGGTATATGTGTTCCAATTAACTATTTCAACAGTTTTAAAAAATCATATTTTTATCACATAAATAATGGTATATTCAGTACGACTAGTAATGTCATAACAGTCGAAAAAGTCATAAAAGGACTAATGGTGCTTTTATTATGAAACAATGCGACACCGGCACTTTCAAAGAACTGCCGCCTCCAGTTGTGATGCATTTTCTCTTGTCAGGATAGTTATCTGCTGTCTTCTATTAATATCTGCGCCGAGGTGTAAGGTAATATTCGTAGGTTTAAAATTCAATGAGGTTTTTAGATTTCACTTAATGTTGATGCGCTTGAAGGACTAGTTTAAAGTACTGGATGAGAGTAAAGTTTGGTAGCTAATTCAGTTAGCATGCTAACTGTGTGAGACAACGTAAACTCAGCAGCGTCTATTTTGGGTTTATCGAGCTGCAAGGTGCAACAGCCCGTTTTAAATTGAACTCTTTTTAACGTCAATATTTTATTTCCATGTGTAGTGACAGGCTAGCATGTTGAGTTAAAGTTACAGTCCTGTTAATATTGAATTAAAGTGAGGATGTAACACTTATCTATAATAATGTGGGATGTAACTATCTGTATGAGTAAATTCATATACTTGTATAAGGTTTAATGTGCTAAATTTTTGAAACCTGTTTATGTATTATTAACTTCATTAGTACAGAAAGCAAAGGGAAAAGCAATGGCCTCTGGAGATATTGCTCAGATTACAGAGGCACTGGCCAAGACCCATGTTGGAGAAGTGGAATTAAGTTATAAGGGACAAGGGCTGAAGTTGGACAATGCTGAGTCAGGTGAGTAAAACTCTGTTAGCAGATATTTACATTTTCCATGTATTAGTGCATCAACACAACTCTCTTAGTTTTCCCTTCTTTTCTGTGATGTTGCAGTGAAAGAGATGGTGCAGGAGATCGAACAGTGTCAGGGTCTGCAGTCTCTCAGATTAGAGGGAAACACATTGGGGGTTGAAGCAGCACAGGCAATTGCAAAATCTCTTGAAGCAAAAAGGGAATTGGAGGTAGTTTTAAATTGCCACTGGAAAATGTTCACTCTTTGACTTTGCTGTTTTTAATCTTTGCCTTTTTTTTTTACTAAGCAATGCCATTGGAGTGAAATGTTCACGGGTCGCCTTCGCTCTGAAATTCCACCTGCTCTGGTAAGACAATATCCATCTCAAAAAGCTCAGTTAAATGTATTTGCTGTGAGTAAAAAGCTTATTTTATTTCCAACATTTTATTCAAATGTTCTAGATATCATTGGGCAATGCTTTGATGGCATCAGGGGCCCGTGCTATTGAAAGTGGGGGGGGGACATGTCCCCCGCGTAATCTACGCCCCTGGATCAAATTAATCCAGGCTTGGCGAACATAAGAGACTTCTTTAAAAACATAAAAAATCTTACTGTTCAAAAACTATATATATATATATATATATTACATAACATTTCAGCCCCCCTCACTTCTGAAATGATGGCTACGCCCCTGGGTCTCCGTATACTATGTTTAATAATAATTTATTTGCCATCATGGTTGTGGTTGAGTTGCAGTACTGCCTCTTACCTCCGGGGATCGTTTCTCACATCACATTTACTGGACGGCAAAACCTCACTGCACATGTGCAAACTGTCCCCCTCAAACATGAAGATAATGTCAAGAGTAGAACATTCTCTTTGTTTGTTCCAGAAAGGGGAAAAAAAACACTATACATTACCTAAGTAGGCCATGTCCTAGTTTAAGTGCAATGCTAGTATCCATTCAGTTGTTATAGTTTTTTGTTTAATACGAAGTGACTAAAACTGCGTTTTAAGAGTACAATTTTTAAATAATTAGTAATTTTGTCAGTTACAATCCTGTCAAATTTTGATGCCGATTTGAAATGTGTTATTTAACGTGAGTGTGTCGAGCAGTTTTTGAGATTTCAGAATTTCCCCATTCAAGTACATAGGCCCGAAATAGCTGTCCGGAGGCGTTGCAAATATGGCTGCTGAGTGAACAGAATTTCCTTGAAAGGGACTTTGGTTTAAGTTTATATTCTAACATTCATATTTTATTTTATTTCAGCTTTATTTCAATTAACAATTTTCAAAATAGTTTTAGTTAATGTTAACAACGGTGTTTCATTGAAATCGTGCTTTAGGATCTTGTTCAAGGACATTGTGAAACTCAACATGACACACAGTAGCTAATACTCATAAAATGATAACTGGGAAAAAGAGCATGCTGTTGACACAGACTGGCTAGTTGCTTAATTTTGTTTTCCAGTTAATTAATGTGGGCCCACACTGTGGTGCATCACATTGGACAAATTGCTGAGATGATTCTGTTGAGAAGCAGATGCTTTTACTTCAAGGCCTTCATTTAATGATGATTTGTTTTCAGTGGAGCAGATGTTCTCCTGCATTCTTGTGGCTGGAGCTGTTAGAGAGTCACTTACGGCGACCCAGTGTGCAACAGCTGTAGAAGCCCCCCACATGTACAGTTATTTTTTATTTATTTTTCCTGATTTGCACTGTTTATGGTGAAATCTTATTTCTTCTAAAATTACCCCATGATTTACTAACCCTCAAGCAATCCTAGGTGTATACAACTTTCTTCTTTCAGATGAAGACAATCAGAGTTGTTTAAAAGTGTCCATATGTTATTTTATGATCCAAAAAAGTTACAAGAAGAACCATTTTTAGAACAACAGAGAATTACAGGAAATCATTGGGAAAAGGGGGAATAGGTTTATACTACAGAATGTGTCTTTAATCACAATATCACAACACAGAAGAAAAGATCTGTCGCTTCTTCCGTTTCATCACAATGTTAAATTTAGTTTTAGAATTAAGTTTTTTTTTTTTCACACACCACTGGCAAATATAACATTTTTAATAAATTAATACATTTAATAAACTGTCTGTCTGTCTGTCTGTGCAGGAAACATCCTGTGCCAGTTTTGATTTTTATTTAGTTTTTGTTGTTGTTTTTATTATTTTTTGCCTTCAAGAGCCCCACTATTCAAACAAAAATAAAAATAAAAACTAAATAATAAAAAGATAACCAAAACAATCAGCAAATGCAACAGACTAATTTCACAGTTATTATATAGTATATTCAATTCTTATTCACACCCCATGTGTAGAGGAGTAAAAAAGGCATGTTGTTAAGCTCCGTTAGATGCAGAATACTGGAAACAGAATGACGGGCAGGTCTTCATGGCGAGAGCGGCGTAACCATGGCGCAAATACAAGTATCAAGCTTAAGAAGCAGACAGCCAGAGAATAGCCTGTCAGATACAGCAGCTGTCAGATCCTAGATCAGCTAATTCAAGCGCAGGTCACATAGCAGTATTAGGTGCTAACACACTGCACTGCATAAGCCAGACTGCCGCTGGAGGAAGAGCGAAGCTTCATTCTATTCATGAAGTCTTATTAGCATAATCAGCTCAGTTCATTGAGGAGTGAACCTGAAGTTCTGTGAGGAACATGTCAATCATGTTTCAGGAGCATAGCCAACACCCTGAACAATTTCACTCATTGCTGCTAGAATATTCAAAAGGATTTTTAACTACTCTCATATGCTTCCTGTCTTCGCAGGCCTTCGTTTCACACCACTCCTCTAACTTCCTGTCTTTCCTTCACAGTCAGTAGCTTTAAGGAACAGTTGACTCAAAAATGAAAACTGTGTCATCAGTTACTCACCCTCATGCTATTTCAATCCTAAATTACTTGATTTTTTTCGGGAGAAAGCCAAAATGAGATGTTTTGAAAGACCACATTGAGTCAAACGTGTTTTCAATTTTTGGGTGAACTACTTTAACTACTCATCCACATGTCAACCAAAGGTTTTAGGGATCTGACAAGCACATGTGGTGTGCCAGCGACCTCCTGTCTTGCTAAAACATGTTGCCACCTCAGGGAAGCGGCAGCGGCCCGACAGGCTAAGGTAAGTGGGACATGATTGGCGACTGACTATTTGCACTTCGTCATTGGGATGACATGGAAAATCCATAGGGAATAAGAGATGCTTCTCACGCTGGCTGGAATTGACCATCGATCGATGTGGAGGGAAATTGGTCCTCAGAGTACGGAGAGCTAGACGAGTTTGAGAGAAGCTGTTTGGTGAAGCATTAGCCAAAGATTATTTATGGGCAAACATATATCCTGTTTGAAGCCCTCTCATTCAAGCTCTCCAAGCTAAAGGTCATGCATTGTTTTGCTAAGTAATGTGAATCACTGGCGGAGTCTGGGAACCAGAGATTGAGTGAGCATGTAACATATACAAATGGACAAATAAAATCAATTATATATATTTTAATTATTCATATTATTGTGTCTTTCCGTGCTCCCACTCTGCATCTTAAACTCCGTCACTGCCATGAAATCACGACACACCTACACTAAAATATAGGTGAAAAATAATTTTAAACAGTTGTGAATACAATCCAAGCATTTGTGAATTAAAGGGGTCGTATGATGCGATTTAATTTTTTCCTTTCTCTTTAGAGTGTTACAAGCTCTTGGTGCATAAAGAAGATCTGTAAAGTTGCAAAGACTAAAGTCTCAAATCATGTACAGTATGTGGAAAATAATGTGTTTTTTTTAACTTTAAACCGCATAAACACATTTCATTAAACCAAATACACAAAATAATGTTCTTTTTAGCAGCATCATATGACCCCTTTAAAAGTCTGGGCAAAATTGATGCATTGAACTGTTATGATATACACAGAGAATTCAAAATAGCAATTATCATGCTCCATATGCAAGTAAAATCTGGCTTTTTAAACTACAAGACAGATAGCTGAACCCTTATCTGACAAGTGATGTGTGCAAACCAAAATCAAAGACATGCTAGAATAAAAAGGTGCCATAAACTGATGGAAGTGTTTGTTTTACATACACAAACAGTTCCTCTATGATCTTTCCTGATGTGGAAATTCTGCCTGTGTGCCTGAAGACTTACAGAACTCACACATATAACACATTTTACCTCAGTGGAAAATTTACTACACACAGTTTATCTAGGATGCCTAAAAATGTAAACATATACACAAAATACTCCCCGTATTAAAGGTATAGTTCACCCCAAAATGACCTCAGTGCCACTCCTCATTCCTTACTTTCCCAGGTAACTGATTTAGGTTATAAAACCCTTGTGGGAACATTGTTGTGAAATGTTTCTAAAACACTGTTTTCTTGTTTATAACGTGATTTAAAGGTTATAAAAAATGTTGTCCAGTTTTCTTGTCATTATAACATTATTTAAAAGGTTAGAACATTCATCAAGTACACTCAACATCATAAGGACATTTAGAGAATGTTGTTCAAAGAACTTTTTCTCTCAACATTGAGAGTGTTCATCAAGTACAAATAACATCATGAGAATGTTGATCTCAGAACGTTTTCTCTCAATCAGATCAAATATTAATAATGTTTAAAGAATAAACATTAAGACTGTTTTGTTACATTATATTATCTAACTTTCAACAAATGTTAGTGAAAGCTGTGAGAACATTCCCCGTTAGCTGGGTTCTTGCTTCTGTGGAACACAAAAGGTGAAATTATGAACATTATGAATTAAATATGAAATATGAATGAGGAGATTCAAAATGTCAAAAAATAAATAAAATAATAGCATAATAAAAAAGGAATGCAAAAATCGTATGTTTTATATTCTTAGTCTTCTGAAGCCATTCTGTACAATTGCTTTGTGTAAAGAAGACGCTGAAATTTGAATTGTCACACACTAAAAATCATGACATATTCTTTAAGTAACATGGTAATGTCTGATATGTAAACAAATGCTTAATTTGAGCATGGTCTTTTTAAATTAATCATTTGATGAATCACAAATTAGACCGTTCAACTCACTGATTCACTGAACCTGTCAGAACTGTTAAGGGTTATACGATTTGATTATACAGTTCTTTGTGACTTCTCCTCGAACTTGTATTATATTGAAAGGGCTTCCAAGATACTCTTCAAAAATTGACTTTTTGTGAGTGACTTTCTCATTTTTTTACCGTGTACAGGCCTACAGTATGCTGCTTAATTTTTTGCCCCCCACCCCAAGTTGAATCCCTGCATATGGTACGAACAAGACATCGGCCCGAGATAACAAAATAAAATATGTTTTCAGAGTTTGAGGATCACAGTGTTTCAAATTCACAAAATGACTGACTGACACTTTCACGCTACACACCAAATACTCATCATCTCTGTCCTCAAAGCTGCTCTTCAGCTGGTGTGAAAACGATTAAGTTTGGATGTCCAAAAGCATTCTTTTTTTCCCTCTTTTTGCAGCAGAGTGCAATATTACCTTAGAGATACACTTTTGGACATGTGAGGTCTGCCTCTGTTCATCAAGATGGCGCCGACGCTGATGGCTGCCTCCGTGGTGTGCTCCGCAGTTGTTTTTATGTTTTTGTTAGTTTGTCCTGTCTTTAGTTATATCCCTGCAATCAGTTTCACCAGAGACGAATTGCTGGACATTCGGCAGTACACACCACCCGATATTTCACCGGTTTTTGATTATTCTGATGTTTTGCTGGACATTGTAGTCGGCGGAGCTGCTGTGCTGATCAAGCGCTTCAGGACGCGCAGACAGGGGAAGCGAGCCGGCGCGCTCGTGAAGCTCAGACAGCGCGGATTCAGAACGCCGTTGCCTAGCATCCATCTGGCGAACCTCCGCTCTCTACCCAACAAAACGGACGAACTCCTTCTGCTCTCCCGGACAAATAAGGATTTTTCAAACTCTGCTGCTCTGTGTTTCACGGAAACCTGGCTGAAAGACGCCATTCCGGACAGCGCGTTGAGTCTCCCGGGCTTTCAGCTGTTCAGAGCGGACCGCGACGCAGAATCAACGGGGAAATCACGCGGCGGCGGGACATGCATTTACATCAATGAGAGGTGGTGTACAGACGTAACTGTGTTAAAGAAGATGTGCTGTCCAGATCTAGAAGTGCTCTTCATTAACTGCAAGCCGTTCTATTCGCTGCGGAAGTTTTGCTCATTCATTCTCATAAGTGTGTACATTCCTCCGCAAGCACACGTGAGCTCCGCTTTACAGAAACTCGCTGATCAGATCACAGAGACAGAACAACAACACCCAGACTCTGTTTTAATCATTCTCGGGGACTTTAATAAAGCAAATCTCTCCCGTGAACTGCCAAAATACAGACAGCACATCACATGTCCCACCAGAGACAGTAATATATTGGATCACTGTTACACCACAATAAAGAATGCATATCACTCTGTTCCACGGGCAGCTTTGGGGCTCTCTGACCACTGTTTAGTTCGTCTAATACCGACCTACAGGCAGAAACTGAAATCAGCTAAACCTATATTAAGGACTGTAAAAAGATGGACTAATGAAGCAGAGCAGGATTTACAAGCTTGTTTTGACCTCACTGATTGGAGCGTCTTTGAAGCTGCTGCCACCGATCTGGACGAGCTCACAGAGACTGTAACATCTTATATCAGTTTCTGTGAAGACATGTGCATTCCTACCAGGACTCATTTAACTTACAACAATGACAAACCATGGTTCACTGCAAAACTCAGACAGCTCCGTCAGGCCAAAGAAGATGCTCACAGGAAGGGGAATAATGTCTTGTATAAACAGGCTAAATACACACTGGAAAAGAAGATCAGAGTGGCAAAGAGGAATTATTCTGAAAAAATAAGGACTCAGTTCACTTCCAGCGACTCGGCATCAGTGTGGAAAAGTCTAAAAGAAATCACCAACTACAAGACACCATCCCCCAGCACTGCGGAGAATCAACAACTGGCAGACGATCTGAACGAGTTCTACTGCAGGTTTGAAAAAACACCCCACACCCGCCCTGAACACCTCTCCACACAACCATTCACACCTCCAGCAACCCCCCTCTCCCCCACACCTGCAATTCAGATCAGTGAAGACGAGGTGCGCCAGGTCTTCCGGAAGCAGAAAAGGAAAAAAGCACCAGGCCCAGACTGTGTTACACCAGTCTGTCTGAAATCCTGTGCTGACCAGCTGGCCCCCATCTTCACACAGATCTTCAACAGATCACTGGAGCTGTGCGAAGTCCCTTCATGCTTCAAACGCTCCACCATCATCCCCATCCCAAAGAAACCCAAAATTACGGGACTTAATGACTACAGACCTGTGGCTCTAACGTCTGTGGTCATGAAGTCTTTTGAAAAACTGGTGCTGGCCCACCTGAAGGACATCACTGGACCCTTGCTGGATCCTCTTCAGTTTGCCTACAGAGCAAACAGGTCTGTGGACGATGCAGTAAACATGGGACTGCATTAGGTTCTGCAACATCTGGACAGACCAGGGACTTATGTGAGGATCCTGTTCGTGGACTTCAGCTCGGCCTTTAACACTATCATCCCAAACCTCCTCCTGCCCAAACTATCTCAGCTCTCCGTGCCCACCTCCGTCTGTCAGTGGATCAACAGCTTCCTGACAGACAGGCAGCAGCTAGTGAGGCTGGGAAAATACACATCCAGCACCCGTATAACCAGCACTGGAGCTCCTCAGGGTTGTGTTCTCTCCCCACTGCTCTTCTCCCTCTACACCAACGACTGCACGTCTAAAGACCCCTCTGTCAAGCTCCTGAAGTTTGCAGACGACACCACACTCATCGGCCTCATTCAGGACGGTGACGAGTCTGCTTACAGACAGGAGGTCGAGCAGCTGGCTGTCTGGTGCAGTCTCAACAACCTGGAGCTCAACACGCTCAAAACTGTGGAGATGATCATGGACTTCAGGAGAAACCCCCCTGCACTCCCCCCACTCACCATCATGGACAGCACTGTGACTGCAGTGGAGTCATTCAGGTTCCTGGGCACCACAATCTCTCAGGACCTGAAGTGGGACACTCACATAGACTCCATTGTTAAAAAGGCCCAGCAGAGGTTGTACTTCCTTCGCCAGCTGAGGAAGTTCAACCTGCCACAGGAGCTGCTGAAACAGTTCTACTCCACCATCATAGAATCCATCCTCTGCACTTCAATAACTGTCTGGTTCAGCTCAGCTACCAAATCTGACCTCAGAAGACTACAGAGGGTAGTCCGGACTGCTGAGCGAATCATTGGTACAACCCTCCCTTCTCTCCAAGAACTGTACTCATCCAGAGTGAGCAAAAGGGCTGGCAAAATCACTCTGGACCCCTCACATCCAGCACACTCCCTCTTTGAACTGTTGCCATCTGGTCGACGCTACAGAGCACTGAGCACCAGAACGACCAGACACAGGAACAGTTTCTTCCCTCAGGCAATCCATCTCATGAACACTTAACAATAACTGTGGAACACACACTATTTATTCACTCATACACTTATTTATCTAACACACATACTCAGACTACACCTCAAATTTGCACATAATATACAGTACCTGTACATACAAAAACTGTCTATTGTAATATACCTGCACATACAACTGTCAATTTATATATTTTTATTCCTTATTTACTTGTTCTATTTTTTATTATCTGTGTTTTTTGTTCTGTCACTGTCATTCTGTTACACTGTGGAAGCTTCTGTCACGAAAACAAATTCCTCGTATGTGTAAACATACCTGGCAATAAAGCTCATTCTGATTCTGATTCTGATTCTGATGTGGGAGTGTGTGTGTGTGTGTGTTCATACACATGGGATGGCAGTGAATGTGTCAGGAATCAAGGGTTAATTCCAGCCTCAGGTTCAGTAAGTGTTTTGACGTATCTAGGCTAACACTAATGGCTCCTGCGTGCTTTCAGAGCTGACGGTGGAAATCACAGCTCTGGGGACGACGCTGAGTGTGATGACACACACACACACACACTGGTTCATTGAAACAAACTGTCAGAGAGAACCAGTTCATGGAAGAGAATTGGACTACCATAACTAAAAAGCAAACCATTCCGCAAAGGGCCAATGAGGTTTCAGCTTCTACTCTATAAGTTTCTATTCTTTCCTTTTCTCCTTATATGGCACTAAATGCCTCATTTCATATTTATGCAGTATATAAATTTGTATATTAAACATTAGACAATAAAACATTTTAAAAAATGAATCAAACAGTATGTTGTTTGTAATGAATGCCGCTGTAATTTATTTCATTTTATTTTAAGTCTACTTATATTTTTCATTCTTGTTTTGTTCTGGATACAACAGTACAACATTTAAAGGATTTGTTTTGGAGTAAGGGGATCTAAAATACATATTTATAATGTTTGTAAACATTTAATCTACTGGTATTTTACATGATTTTTGAATGTAATAATAAAATAAAATTGATATGTGATTTATCTGTTTTTTATTTTATTTTTTATTTTTTTCTTTCTCTCTCAACTTAAGTTTGACCGGGTGCGACATACTTAGGTGCGACTTAAACTCTGGAAAATAAGGTAAATTATAATAATTGTGCTGTATTATTAAAAAGTGCATATTTACAGATGGGGACCATTTGTACATCGTTACTCCCACCCTGTAACTCTGGATTTAATCACAGTTATTATTATTAGGTGGACCTATAGCCTATAAGGGGTCCCTGGCCTGAAAATTTTGAGAACCCCTGTGTTAGATGAGGCAGACATCCAAAATGATCAGAGGTGGGCGGTCTTCAGGACAGATTTGAGAAGGACTGCAAAGGGCCTCAGTGAACTTACATGTACGTTTTACTGTCGCCCTCTAATGGAAGATATAAATGATGCAGATCAGTTTACTTGGAGAACATGAAACCTGTTTGAGCTCTCAGTATCAGACAGTGTAACTGCACTAGGTGGCGCTCTTTCAGTGTGATTAATGTGATGTTCAGTCAGTGGTGATGGTGGGAGGAGCCAGTAAAGCTGCTCATTACTGATAAAGAGCTGAATAAAGAGGAAGTAACTAAAGCAGACAGATGTAGAGACAGAGAGATTCACACAGAGATCATTCAGCATAAAGAAGACTGAACTCAACTCACAATGAAGATCCTCCTCATCTTCCTCACTTTCTACCTGATCTCAGGTCAGAGCTTTTCTCTTTCATCACTGCAGTAATGATGCTGTTTTCTGTTCATCAGCTTTCTGATCACAGTATCAATCTGATTGACAGCTGCAGTGAGATGCTTTAGCGTCACGGGATATTCTGGAGCAAGTCTTCTGGTTGATTCTGGGAAACATTGGTCCAGTGACTCTGCTAAATATATGGTTAAACATGACCCATGGAGAACCATAATAGATTACAAGAAACACAGTGAATGGACTAGTGAAGGAAGATTCATTCTTTTCTGCAACAAATATGGAAAACTCATGATATTCATCAGAGAACTGAACCAACAGGACGCTGGGAAATACAGAATTAGGGTTATGAGCAAATGGTATATAGATATAACTTTGAATGTGAAAAAAGGTAAGCAATTCAAGTGTGTAATGCAACTTCTCATTTTAAAGGTACATCATTGTAAAGTATATTTCTTTATTATTTGAATGACAGATTCATGCTGTGTGGTGTCAAAGAAAGTGGTGGTAAAGAGTGGAGAAACTGCCACCTTCAGCTGTGAATATTCACAGAATCATATTAATGATGCAAAAGTCATATTCAAAGAACGACAAAACTCCATTGACACATGGAATGAGGAAGAAAGATTCAGTATTTCTGATGACAAACATAAACACATCTTCAGTGTGAGAATCACTGCTGTGACACCAGATGATGGAGGAGTTTATTTATGTGGAGTTTGGATCAACAGACAATCATACAGTTACTCCATTATTATTACTGTTCATCTACATATTATTAGTAAGTAGAACAAACACTTAAGTCATATTGGGTATACATTTTTCTACAATCTGTGTTTGTAGCAGATTTGATTGTGATATTTGTGATTGACAGAAAAAGTGGGCGTTTTTAAAGCAGGCATGTCCAATCGAGCTCCACTATCTTACAGAGTTTAGCTCCAATAATTAAACCCACCTGAACCAGCCAATCAAGGTCCTTCAGGATTTCTAGAAACTTCCAGATAAGTGTGTTGGAGCAGTTTGGAGCTAAACCTTTGGAAGCAGGATTGGACGCCCTGGTTTAGAGATAATGAGCTGAAGGTTCAGAGTCTCAGTTTAATATGGCTATGAAGAATTAACGGTCTTTATTCAGGAAACCCACAGACCACACGAGACTCAGCAGAGCGACGAAGCCGAACCTGTACAGTTCTGCAGAAGAGAGACTGAAATACACTCATTCAACTGCAGAGTAGTGCAGCTTTTATATATAATGAAATACTGTACATATGAAACTGTGCATGACAACTCTCAGTGATGTTGGTCAGTAAGAGACGACGCCAAAGCCATGCTTTAAATGTTTCATTTATGTACAATTTGTTAAGGTTCACAGATGCTCTTTATTTATAACCTGTAAGTGTTAAAACAGATATTTGTATTGGATATAAAACATGCCGAGTTGGATTTCATGTTCAACTTTATCAGAATCAGAGCAGCTTTATGCTACAGATTAGACATCACTTTAACTCATGTTCTTGATAAATGTGTGAATTGAACATAAACATCATCATTTAGAATATTTATGTAGATATTATTTCAA